TCGGCGCGGCGGCTGCTGCGGCGGCGGAGAAGGGAGGCGAGGGCTGCCATTTTCGGGGGTGGAATTGGATCACAGCAAGGTTTGGGGTTTTAGGTTTTGGGCGACAGACAGAGTACTCCAGCACAAGAGGAGTCTGTTTTGGAAATGGCCAGTGTTGGGCCTACTTGGGCCGTACTGTACCAATTTTCTTCGCTAAGCCGAAATCCTAAGCCCAGAACGTATCGACAGTCCAACTCCTATACCATCACCACGTTCTCACCGGCCTTCGCCGTCACTGCGCCGGCGCGGCCACCGGCGAACGCCCTCAACTCGTCGTAGCGCTTAAGCTTCCTCTCCCCCGACCTCAGACTCCCCAGTCCCCATCGTGTGTCGGAACAGATGCGGCTAGAGCCAAAACCCTAACCCCTTGAAACAGCTGCCTCCTACTCGAGCTGCGGGCATGGACGCGCTCATCTCGGCGGCGCTCGAGGAGGTGTGCGCCCGCCTCTCCTACGGAATCCCCGTAACCGACCTCTGGCCGGCGCTACGCGGGGCGCTCGAGGCGGCCGGCCTCCCGCTCAGCCCCGCCGTCAAGCGCGTCCTGTGGGCTCGCCTTCTCGCGCTCCCCGTCATCAGCCTCGTGGTGGGCGACGGGGATGGATCGCCCGTCGCGCCCGGCGACCCGGCGGAGAAGGACGTGGGGGAGGCAGAGCGGCGGGGCGTGCGGCTGGTGTCGAGCGCGCCGCTCAGGGACAACTTCCTTGGGATGTATGGCCACAGGTTCGCTAAATCGGAGCTCTGAGTGCCGTCCAGAAGGCCGCGCTAGAGCTTGTCGGGGCAAGCAGGTGCGCTCCGATGTACATTTGAGCAAAGTATCATATTGGTTGCTTACATCTCCCCTTTGTTTTCTATTAATCTGTGCCGAATTTCTGGCCCCCTTAATTTTTGTACATTTATGCCGACTTACCTGTGATCTTGTAATTCTTTGGGCTTAGGAGCTTCTGAATATTGAGTCAGTTATTTTACAATGCCTCCGTGATTATTTTAGTTATGAAGATTGGAGAATGTTCCCTATTCGGTGTACATATGAACCTCATTCTGGGATGTTTTCATGTGTGTGCTATAGAAT